ACTTGTACGAGTCCAGCTTCTGTAGATACCCCTGAGCCATCTAGCCTGTCGCTGAAAGACTGCGTGTAACATTCACATTAGCATGAAACAACAAACGAAGCGACACTGCCTGCTTTCATCTGGTACTAAAATATCAGTTCGCTTGCGTAACAATCGAGTGTACTGTTCGAGAGGCGGACGCGGGTGGCCATGGCGAAAAAACCTAAAAAGTGTGAAATTAAAAAGCGTCAAGATTAGGGACAGAGAAGCGAGAGGGAGGAGATAAGAGTGTGGTAGAAGCAGGAGACAGAGGGAGAGGAGACGAGAGAGCGACTAGAGTGGCTAGAACGAGAAAGAAAAAGACGCGATAAAGAATATAGATACAGACCACACAGAGACGAGAGAGAGAGATGGAGAGAGAGAGAGAGAGAGAGGGCGGGATAGGATAGGAGATGGTTTCTAAGTCCTCGTCACCTCACTGAGGACTGATCGTACGCTTATATCATAACAGTATCTGGTATATATGCTGAGATTTGTGTACTCTGCGCGCTAGTACATCCACTATACGTTTATGCTATGTACATCCACTATAACGTTTATGCTAGTAATCCACTATAAGTTAATGAGTACACTCCCCTATAAGATTTATGCTGAGTAATCCACTTAATTTATGCTATTACATCCATTTATTCAGATTTATTGCTAGTACATCCATTACAGATTATATGCTAGTACACCACTATAAGATTGTATGTAGTGACACCACTATATACGATTTATGCTTAGTCATCCACTATTAGATTTATGCTACGTCATCCACTATAAGATTTATGTAGTACATCCCTATATAGCATTTATGTAGTAAATCCACTATAAGATGTTATAGCTAGTACATCCACTAAAGATTTATGTAGTAATCCACTATAAGATTTATGCTAGTAACATCAGTATAGATTTATGCTAGTACAGCCATTATCAGCAGTTTATGATAGCATACATCCCTTATTAAGATTTAGTGCTAGTACATCCACTATAGATTTTAGCTAGGTACATCCATTATTAAGATTTATGCCAGTCAATCCATTAAAAAAAATCAGATTTATGCTAGTACATCCACTATAAGTTTAATGCTCAGTACATCCACTATAAGATTTATCTAGTACATCACTTAAGAATTTATGCTATACACCCACTATAAGATTATGCTATAAATCCTATAAGGATTTATGCTCAGTACATCACTATAAGATTTATGCTGTACTCCACTATAAGTTTATGCGTATACATCCCTATCAGATTTATTTAGTACATCAACTTAAGATTTATGGTAGTAATCACCACAGCTGATCCAGATTATGCTAGCTGACCTCTATTATAAGATTCGATTGGTTTGTCCAAACGTGTTTTGTTCACGAGTTAACATAATGATAATGTGATGTGTGTGTGTGTGTGGGGGTGGGGTGTGTGAGGTGTGTGCGTGCCGCGGGTGTGTTAGTGTGCGCTCAGCGCGCCGTTGTGTGTGCGTGTGTGTGTGTGCGTTCGTGCGCTGCGTGCGGCTGCGTGCGTGCCCGTGCTGCGTGGTGAGTGCGTGCCGGGCGTGCGTGAAGTGCTTGTGCGTGAGTGCATAAGGCGTGAAGTGCATAAGTGCGTGGCGTGCGTGTTTGCTGAGTGCGTGCGTGCCCCCCCGTCGGTGCGTGCGTGGTGCACGTGCCGGTGATGTTGCTGTGTGTCTCGTGCGTGCGTGCGTGCGTGGTTACGTGAGTGCGTCGTGGGGTGGGTGGCGTGCCGTGCGTTGCGTGCGTGCGTTGAGGCGTGCTGTGCGTGCTGTGAGTGCGTGAGGGCGCGTGTGTGCGTGCCTTGTGCGGTGCGGTGTGTGCGTACTCGAGTGCGTGCGCGTGTGTTCGTGCGTGCTGGTTGTGCGTGAGTGCGTGCGTTCGTGCGCATGTTGTCGTAGGTGCTGTGGTGGTGTGACTGTGTGGTGTGTGGGTATGCGGTGCGTGCGTTCAGTGCGGGTGTTCATGTGGTGCGGGTGTGTGTTGTTGCTGGGTGCGTGCGGTCGTGCGCGGTGTGTGTGTGTGGGTAGCGTTGCGTGTGGTGTGTCTGTGTGCGGTGCTGTTGGGTGTATGTGTGTGCCGCGGCTTGCGTGTGTTTGTGATGTGTGTTGTGTGCGCGCGCCGCGCTCGTTGTTTGTTTGTGTGTGATGTGCTGTTAGTGTGTGTGTTGGTTGTGTTGTGTTGGTGGTGTGTGTGTGTTGGTGTGTGTGTGTATGTGCTGTGCTGTGTGTGTCTTAGTATTGTGCAGTGTGTGTGTGGTTGTGTGTGTGTGGTGTGTGTATGTGTGTGTTGTGTGTGTGTTGTGCATGTGATGTGTGTGTGTGTGTGTGGTGTGTGTGTGTAGTGTTGTGGTATATCACGGTCCATCCCCAACGCGTCGTTTTCATGTCGCATACACACGAAACGCCTCGTCAGAGAACCGCAGGCAGGATCATGTACTCTCACGTCTCGTTATCTTGCCCGACTCTCAATCAGATCAGCACAATCTCGGCTCTACTGAGAAGGAAGATTATTACCAAGCACGCACGTTCAACAACGCACGCCAGGCCGCGCACATGCAACGAACGCAACGCAAACGCACGCACACGCAGAGACACGCAAACGCAGCACGCCTGACCAAAAGCGCACGCGACAGACGCAAATCTATGATAGTAGATTGGCTAGTTAAGCTAATCCTAGAATAGACGATCCATCCATCCATCCATACACCCATCCATCCATCCATCTATCTATCCATCCATCCATCCATCCATCCATCCATCCATTCACGCGTTAATACATATATATCATTCAGTAAACATGCCACCTGATGTTCAAACAGAGTGGCGCGCACGAGATACATCCGGCTCGACACAGTGTAGGCAGGGAGGAAGGTACAAACACAACGCTTTTCCGGTTGTTCTTTTCCATCTATAAGGATATGCTATAGGCGCCGTATCCTGTTAACGATCCAGGGGGATGATATTCCCTCAGCCATGCTCTCTATTTTCCCCTGCTGTATTTGAATCGAGTGGCGATGTTTCATTTTTCGTTGCGCACATACACAAACTGCCGTCGTCGCCCCACTTTTTATGCTATACGTGATATGACGGGCGAACGACAGCGGGATGATTTCTGTTATGCGCCAATAGATGGCGCCAGAGAATCATTTTTTAGGTATAAGCTGGGTGGGTCTATAATCAAGCCGGTACGGGAGATGCCGGTGTGGTGTTTTGAACATTGTTCAAAACCACAATTACATGCGAGTGAAATCAGGAGTTGATATTACGACGTACACTAGTGCATGTATTGCTATCATTCCTATCGTTGAACTCCTATAAAATCTGATCATATCTTGGTGGTATGATCAGGAGTGAATAATAGACTAATAGACTCTATTATTCACTCCTGGTATCATGTATATATAATGAATGTCAAAAGTACAAAAATCATTTTGGTTCAATTTTCTCCAAATTATGTTCATAGGCACATCGACAAATGGGATTGTTGTTGACATATACCAATACAGTTCTAATCGCACATCATGCGTTAACTATAGATATACTCTCTATACTAAACACAATTATTAAATGTCGAACATTATTCTTAAAAACGAGAATCATAGGAATATTAAATTTGTGCAGATAGCAAAGCTATTTTACGTGATGTAATACTTCATATTAATATTATTTGTAATTAAAGATGATAATAACGCTGGAAATCACAGCAAATATATATACTACCCATTACAGTAACACGGACCGACATCTGTAGTTAAGAACAAACGAAATCATCAAAACCCATCTCAATAAATATTTCATAAGTAAATGACGGTAAAAAATTGAATCATTCATTAAATGCGCGCGCTTGCGGGCGTGTAGTAAAATATATGGTGTGTGTGTGTGTGTGTGTGTGTGTGTGTGTGTGTGTGTGTGTGTGTGTGTGTGTGTGTGCGGACGTGCGGGCTTGTGTGCGTGT